TAGTATGCTCTAGGTTAATTATCTGACTGTAGTATACAGTAGTAATTGTACTTTTTAATGTTTTGGAGCGGTTTTCACTTGGGTATCGAAAGTAATTCGCTGTTGTGTTGGTTTTACGTTACTTCACGAAATTAGAGCGGTTTTTATTTGAGTGTCGAAAGTAATTAGACAATTACTTTGGTCTTAGTTGTGGTCTTACTGCAGTTTGAGGTTGGCTGAATAGTCTAATTGGTAAGTAATTGGTTTGGTTTTGGTTTTACGACACTCAATTGAAAACCGCTCTATTGGGTTAAAATTCTTCACTCAATCACAAGTAAAACCAAAACCACGCTCGCACGCGTTTTCCCGCGCTCTGCGTCAACTACAGGTGTTTACTTCGAGTTTTGATTGGTTCATTGGACGGCCTGTGTCCTTTGTGATTGGCTGGAATGATAACTTTGGTTTTGGTTTTACGAAACTCAATTGAAAATCGCTCTATCACGATAACTGCCAGCTTTCTTTCAGGCTTTGACAGTGTCTTTATTGCCAGCCGTTTCACGTAATGATGCCCTTTTGTATGAGTTCCTATAACTTAACGCCCATTGTTTTCCGTTTCTTTTAGAACAAAAGCCTCGTTTGAAAGTTGGCTAAAACAAACTCGTTTTAGCCTGGAACTAGTCGTACCCAGGACTGTCTGCGTCATGATAAATGTCGTCATTCAGGCCAAGAAACAGGTAAGTGGTGAAAGATGACGCCATCTTGGGTTATGCGGCATTCTGTAGTTTGTTTTTAATTTCTTTTCTGTTTATGTAATATGCGTTTCACACCATCGTCATTTACGTGCAATTGATCTTTTCAGCTTCGCGCGTTCTTTTCGTTTTGTCATGTAATCTTTTCTTCCTAACGTGATTGGGGAACTGTGCGAGAATGCGTGACGAGATAAGAAAACGCATGCGTACAAGGCCAATCAACTGTGCTTTACACATTTTCTTTCTTGATTTACACAGTCCAGGTTTCTTTGTGCCAGGGAGGAGTCCGATAATTCTCAGGTAAATAAAACAATCCAGTACACTAGTTCCAGTGTAACTTGTTATTTTGCTATAAACGCTAGAAAATAATTTATGCCAAAGAACAATTCAAAGGCTTGTCCAACTACCAGCTTTTAAAGGGACTTTGTGACTGTAACACTTCGACACTTAAATAAATTGATTTATTTTGTTCCGATCTACCAAACTGCTTTCAAATTCATGAAGTCTTAGAATAATAGTTTTCTATTTTAGAGCATCAAAAAATAATAATAAACCAGAAACAAGTAAGGGTAGTTACGACTGAGGGGGATTTTGAAGGAACGACAAATTAGGAATAATTGGTCATTTTTTTCCCCTGTTGCATCGTCCGCGTAGGTCGTTTAAACATGTCTAATTATTGATGTGAAAGGCAATATTAAGATAACTAAACCCATTTAGGCAAACGTTTTAAAATGTCATATAAAGCTTCTTGTACTCTCGTTATATTGACTCTTTGCCATGGCAAAAGAGTACAGACCTTGCAAAAATATGTTTAAATTGTTAACTTTAATTCTCTGTTTTCCAGTACCGCTACCACTCAGATGTCAACATCTTCCTTAAAGATGTTATCCAAGAGATGTTTTCATCGTTCATCACTAAGGTTTGTTTAAAGTCAATCCTAGATTAAAGTTATCAATTCTCCTTATAATTACCATATAATTCCTATATATTCCTATATAGTTCTGAGAATGTAGTGTTACTATCCTTATTCTTGTCAGTTGTTTCGAGTGCGCTTTGCGGACCTATCTTTTATCTTGCAGCTCAACACAGTGTTGGACTCGCTATTGGCTAAGGTGGCTCGTTATGACCAAGGATTCATTCTAGCGCCGATGTTTGCTCTCAAGGTATGTGCTTACAGTTAAAGCTCTTCTAAGCCCCTTTATCTCTTTTCAATCCCACTCTCCAGTTCTTATTATTAGTATTTTTGTATTTTTCAGAGGGCCACAAGTTCATCAGCAATGTTAGCTACTGTTACGTGTCACCTTCATAAAATATAGTCTCTTACTTACTTACTTATAGTATTTCTACTTCTAGGAATTGAATACAACTTTGTTTGCTCTTTTAAGATCTAAGGCCTTTGAAGGATTGTGTATAGACTGTACACAGCCCTCTGTTTTCTCGCATTTTTAATCGATCGTTGAACGCGCGGAAACCCCTTAGTGCTTTCACGCTCGCTTCCCTCGCTTTTTCCTTCGCGTGCATAGGAAAACAAGAAAGGCTGTGAACAGTTTAATTGTGTAAATTAGTTTGTGACATTTTGTTGTGTCTCGCATTCTTTTTGTTGATCCATTGGAGTGGCCTCACTTTGCAGTCCCTTGTTCAGCTAGCGACTAACTTGCATTGGGAATTTTATGTGGAAGACATTGCGTTGGGTGTCCGATTGAGTAAATTTTCACTCGCTATGTTTTGAATTTTTTTTTTTTACAGAATCCTGGAACTGAGCTTGAAGAATCGTACTTGAAATTCGTCAAACTAAACTTGGAAAGATTCAGAGCTCACCTCAATGATGAGAAAATGAAGAAACAGCTGATAAAGGTACGGTCTTGAAATTACCGTTGGGTTATGTTTCTTAAGGCCTTTGTTATTTGGTTGGGCTGTATCTGTCGTATTCTTAATCCAGGCACTACTCTCACTGCAAAGGTATTGGTTTCTTAAGAAACTGTTGTGCTTTGTCGCTGCAGGACTGGTACACGTCCATAATAACGAAGATATGTGATTGGCTATCAGACAGAATGAGCATGGCGTTACACCAGTACCAAGTGCAGACTCTGCTCACGCTCGCAGCGGTAAGTCCTTGTGTCACGCAATATCTAAGTTGCTTGTTGATTTTTTTTCCCTTAAAAGCTTTGTCCCTACTTAGGTAATTCAGCAAGTAGTATCTTTCACTGCCGGTTACTCCGTTATGCGCAGTCTTACTCTTTATACCTTAAGACCCATTTAGGAACGAAGATGAGTGAGACTAGGGGCGATTGAGCCATCTATGTCGACATCTTATTGCTTAGCAACACCCCTTTCGCAGGCTCAGTCATACCTCAGAAAGGGGATTAAAATTAGCGATGCACAGTAACATTTTAATGACCTTTATCAATTCGTTAGGAGCTACCGCAGTTCGTTAGTGAAGACTTGTCGTCCAGCCGGGCAATCTATTGCCGAACCTACAACACTGTGTTCTCGCGGCTCCGAGTGGAGGATGCTATGCACAAGGGACAGAGTATTTACGCCACGGAAGATCAGACGTACCCTGGAGCTGACGGAGAGGACGATGACGAGGAGACTGAGTCGAGTGACGAGGAAGCGTTTGTTAGATTGGAGAATGGAAACTAGAATCGCTTGATACGCGTGCGCAATGGCCTAAAATTGGCTTTAGGCGGGAAATGCAATGGTTGCTTTTGATAATTATGCTTATTATACTTAATAAAGCTAATTTATACTTAAAATGCCTCTAGTTAAAAATAAATTATCACTAGAAATAATATAACTTAGAATCATAAATTTAGATTATTGACCAAGAGAGCGTAACAGTAAGCAAGCAAGCGTATTTTCCACTGCGAATTAAATTATTTTTTGTATATTTAAGGAGAGCTGAATAGCTAGAAGCTTTGAGCTGTCGAGATAGTGATTTAAAAAAACACGTTAGTGCAATCAGAAATCACTTTTCATTTAAAATATACAACTTACGTTACAAACGTAAATTTAGAATAAATAGGCAAAGTCAACAACATCTGTATTTTATCATAGAATGTGTGCTTTATTCTGCATAGTAATACAGTTTGAGTGCTACTTGCTCTCCGATTGGCTTAAAACAAGTAATATTAGGGAGAAAACCAATGGTGCTATTTTAGGTTCAAGTTGTTAAGTTATACATGGTAAAAATCATATAAAGAAGAGAATTAACATACTGTAAAGAGATCTAATAAGCATTCTTGTTATTTACGAACACTGAAGAAATGTCAAAAACACTCGCCTTCGGCTCGACCTTTCTAAATTTCTTTCGCGTTCTCAAATGCTCGTAATGTTTAATATATTATATATTGTTTTGGCTTCCTTACTTCTAATTAAGATTGTACTAATGAATAGTCGCTCTTAATTTTGAAACACTAGAAAAGAAAAGAACCTTCACCGTGAAAAAGCTTTATAAGTCTGTGTGTAGTTTCAAGGACAAGTTCTTATATAAAAAGAACTTGAAGGAACTAAGAAAACGTAGAGATACGACTGTTTGTTTTTCCTCAGAGAAAAAATCTTGAAGTTTGTAGCCTCGATGTCATAAGCATCAACTTCTCAACATAGTATATTTTCATAGACCGTTTGCATGATATCATTAGTTTTTGCACTGACCAAATAATAAAAGAAAGTGCTGTTTTCTTTATGAATGTGCTTCGAGTCTCGTATAATCCTTTGTAATGTGCTATGTTAAGTCAAGTAAGAAAAAAAAACTAATAAAGTTAAGTCCAGAAAGTAGAGATCTTTGTGAAATCGCTTTACAGGTTACATTGAAGTCAAGAAACCCCAATGGGGTTGGGGCGGGAACAAGTTTGGAAACTTCCTTCTTAGTATTTGTCCTCCTCACTTTAAACCCGATTCCAGAGTCCACGTCACAGCAATGATCAGGAAGTCATAGGGGTCATAATCATCTTACAATTTAATATTCGATTTCCGATAATTGTTTTCGGCTGATGCGAGACTGAAAACTGGAAAGTTAAGCAAATGGTAAGGAAATTACCTCCGTTCCGAACGGAGAAAGAGGACTAACTCTGGAGGAAGTCAGCTATTTCTGAACGGATTTTCAGGAAAATTACTGTTGTTATAAGATGATTTCCCGTAGCTCAGTCATTAGGGACCGTACAGATATAAGACGGCGAGGACGACGCCTAGTGGAAAATGTGTCTCTATTTTACTTTGGAATTTCTCATTTATTATCTATCAAGTGTGTTTGTCGGTATTAAAACTTGCCCCTACTGAATATGCTACAAATGCATTCATTTCTAAATAAAAATATGAATAATGAGCTGTTGTGGTTCACGTTCTCCAGACAACGCAGAAATAGGTCATTTCACGTTGCTGTTTTACAGAGGACGGCAAAGAAATGTACCAAGAATTATAAT